TATATATAGAGAGAGAGAGAGAGAGAAAGAGAGTAAGAGATAACGACGATAGATATTTGGTATGAAAGAAAGAGCAATCAACAATCGAACGAGCCGTTTTTTTGTACCACTGGCAACAACAACAACAACAACAACAACAACAACAACAACAGAACAATTATTTGCATTTACTGACTGATAATTATGCAAGACTCTTCTTCGATACTTTATTTCTTCTATACTGTTGGTGATACTGATGCTGATTTTGCTGATACTGATGCTGATGCTCAATCTGGGGAAAACATTGAAGCGAAACATTGTGCTTTTCAAATTCGCAAAAGTTAACGTTTTTACCGACCGAAAATTACTAAAGACCCTCCCTCCCTACTCTGCATTTTGTACTCTCTTACTGCTGCTATTGTTGCTGCTGCAGCTGCTAATGATGATGATGATGATGATGATGACGACCATGATGATGATGATGATGATGATGATGATGATGATAAATAATGTTAACGATGACCATGACAACAATAGCGATTACAACCACGGAGTCTGCAACTTCTGTAAAAAAAAATATTACCGTTCTAGCGTTGTTATAACCGAAACTTTGCCGGCGTTGACCCCGCTGTCTCAAATGGAACCTGATTTGCTGCCGGCTGGGACTCTGCGGGCCCAGACTGCCGGAGTTGTTGTAGGGGTGTGAAGTAGGGAAACAGCCAACCGGCGGGCTGTCGTAGCATCTGGACAGCCAGTCCGAGAATAACCAGCCTTGAGAATAAAGAAGAACGCCGTGAGGCTTTTACGAAACATTACAACAGGGAACTAAGCTAGCGCATATAAAAACAAGTGGGTCACTTTTTAATGGGAGATAATAAATGACCTTCTGTTTTAGTCCCACACAAAGTGACTTGGTATGCGATCATCATCATCATCATCATCATCATCATCATCATCATCATCATCATCATCATCATCATCATCATCATTGTTATTACTATTGTCATCGGTATCGTTATGCCGATTGTTTAAACTTATCTTGATGATGATGATGACAATGATGATGATGCTGCTGCTGATGATGCTGCTGCTGCTGATAATG